CAGCAGTGGACAAGACTCAGGAAGCTTAAATGGTAGGAGGGTGTGGACAGATGAGGAGCGTGGAAACAAGCAGATAACAGATGGTGCTAAGTGCTATGACATAAATCATCAGAGCAGCGTGACAGAGTAGCCGGCAGGGGCTCGCTGGAATCAAGGGGGTCAGAGGACCTCCTCTGAGGAGGAGACACTGACATTGAGCCCAGAGCCCAGAGGTAGGAAAGAGCTCAACCTGTTCTTAGAACAGACGGAGGCAAGATTAGGTAAAGCGTAAGAGAGTGAGGAACTGCCGGCTGTAAAGCAGGTAACAGAGAACCACAGAAGGCTGGGCACTCCGGCCTCAGCTTTACGAAAAGCCTGACATGACGGGCTGTGGCATGTCCTACACTGACACACACCGTTCCTTACCTCTTTCACTGTTACTAACCTTCCAAGTTCATGTTGCCCTAAGCCTACCCCTGAGAGCAGGGACTATGCGGCCTCACGTCTTTCTCGGCCTCACAGTGCCCACCACACCGCTGTATACAAAAAAGACACACACACATTGTTCATTTGTTCAGATGGTTTAAAGAACCTACATTTAGAAACTTGTCAAAGGAATCATTCCTTTGTAATGTATGCAGTTTTCACTACTACAGTAGCTGAATCATATGGGAAAATAAAACACTTAGAATTAAAAGCTCAGTTGATAGAAATGCTTGTCAACCTATCACTAAAAAGAATTTGGCTGATGGACAAAAACAGATCCAGAGACAGAGAAGCATCGATCAGACCGTCAAACCTCAGAGGGAAGGTAGGGGAGGGTGGGAGTAAGGGGGAGAGATCAACCAGAGAACTTGTATTGCATGCATATAAGCCTAATCAGTGGACATAGACACCAGGGGGGTGAGGGCATGAGTGGAGGGGGGGGGACCAATGGGGCGATAAGGACACATATGTAACACCTTAACCAGTGGTTCTCAACCTTCTGGCCCTTTAAATACAGTTCCTCATGTTGTGACCCAACCATAAAATTATTTTCGTTGCTACTTCATAACTGTAATGTTGCTACTGTTATGAATCGTAATGTAAATATCTGATATGCAGGATGGTCTTAGGCGACCCCTGTGAAAGGGTCGTTCGACCACCAAAGAGGTCGCGACCCACAGGTTGAGAACCACTGCCTTAATCAATAATGAAAAAATAAATAAAAATTTTAAAAATAATAATTTGGCTGCAGTCTTCCTACCAACATAAAAATAAACAAATTAGCTATCTGCCCAAAGGGAGTCCCTTTTTATTGAGAATGGAAAGGTAGAAGGCAGGGAAAGGCCATAGGTAAGGCCAGCAGCCACCATCACATGGGCCCCTTCCATGCCTACTCGTCGCCACCTACTGGACAGCCGGAGGACAGACATCTGTGCAGTTTTCCAGGGTCTGAGACTTCAGGGTCAGCTAATTTGTATAAATAATTGTAACTCACACAGGACAATTGAGAAAAAGGCTTCTAAAAGATTTAGAAATAACTAATAAAAGATTTTCTTATCCTAATAGGTTAGGTTAGCATGCCTTGGAGGTTTAAAAATGTGTGCCTATTTGCTTTTGTTTTAAAGAAGAAAAGAGCCCTCGCTGGGCGGCTCAGCTGGTTTGGAGCATTGTCCTGTACACCAAAAGGTTACAGGTCTCATTTCCAGTCAGGGCACATACCTAGGTTGCAGAAAACCAAGAGATGTTTCTCTCTCTTCCTCTCTCTTTAAAGTCAATTAAAAACATATCCTCTGGTGAGGATTAATAAAGGGGAGGGGAGGAGATGAAAAGAGGAGGCACTAGTTGAAAGAAGGTTGAAGATCCTAAAGATATGAAGTATTACCATACGCTACCACTTCTAGAAAAATACTTAGAATGAACAAAAACTTGACTACATTTTTTATTCAAATACAATTAAAGTAGAACAATCCATCAAAACTACAGAATAATGAAAAAATAAAACCAGAGGGAGCCACCAGAGGCAAGAGGAAAACTGGGAGAGAGCAGTATCCTGGGAAACAAGAGCCAAGACGGTTTCCAGGGGCAAGAGGGCAACAGTGACAAGAGCTGCTAAGTGGTCGAGTCAGGTGGGCCTTGAAGTTCATAGTCATGAAACAAAGCAACATGCAGGCCGCTGGGGAACTCAGTGAGAGTCTCTGCAGATGAGAGTAGTACACTGAAGAGGCAGCAAGAAGGAAGATAATGGAGGTACTTCTCAATTGGAGATCCCTGGGAATATTTAAAAGCCAACGGGCCCTAGCGGGTTTGGCTCAGTGGATAGAGTGTTGGCCTGCAGACTGAAGGGTCCCAGGTTTGATTCTGGTCAAGGGCACATGCCTGGGTTGTGGGCTCGATCCCCAGTGTGGGGCTTGCAGGAGGAAGCTGATCAATGATTCTCTCTCATCATTGATGTTTCTATCTCTCTCTCTCTCCCTTCCTCTCTGAAATCAATAAAAATATATTTTTTTAAAAAATTTTAAGCCAATGGGATTAAGACAAATGAGTGAGCCTGGCTGGTGTGGCCCAGTGGTTGAGAGTCAACCCATGAACCAGGAGGTCATGGTTCGATTCCGGGTCAGGGCACATGCCTGGGTTGCGGGCTCAGTCAGAGAAAGATAAATATCACATGATCTCACTCATTTGTGGATGAACAAAAACAGATCTAGAGACAGAGAAGCATCAATCAGATGCTCAAACCTCAAATGGAAGGTAGGGGAGGATGGGGGTAAGGGGGAGAGATCAACCAAAGGACTTGCATGCATGCATATAAGCATAAGCAATGGATACAGACAACAGGGGGTGAGGGTGAGGGCAGGACTGAGGGGGTGGGGGGACAATGGAGGAATAAGGACACAGTATATAAAAAAAAAATTTTTAAGCCAATGGGATTAAGACAAATGAGTGGGCCTGGCCAGTGTGGCCCAGTGGTTGAACGTCAACCCATGAACCAGGAGGTCATGGTTCGATTCCGGGTCAGGGCACATGCCTGGGTTGCGGGCTCGATCCTCAGTGGGGGGCATGCAGGAGACAGCCGATCAATGATTCTCGTCACTGATGTTTCTATCTCTCTCCCTCTCCCTTCCTCTTTAAAATCAATAAAAACATATTTTTTAAAAGACACAAATGAGTGAGAGAGACAAACTGGCTGCCGAGAAGGTAGAAGGGGAGGGTGGGAAGGGTGAGAAGGGCTCCATAGCCCTCGTTAATCTGGCTCCACAGGTGCACAACCTGTGCAATCACAGGCAGTGCCCCATTCAGAAGGGCACCACCCTTGTTTAATGCTCTGCTGTCACCAACTTCAGATTCCTTAAAATGTTTGAACAAGGGGCTGCCTCAGTTTCATTTTGCACTGAGCCTCACAAATTATGCACCAGTCCAGGGCGGGGGGATGCTGGCCTCAGCACCAGGAAAGACAGCTCAGGTGCCAGGGCAGGAAGAGGGAATGGAGAGGCAGGGTCAGTGCCAACCAATAGCTCCTTTCTCCGTGAAACAGAAAAAGAGTCAACTGCTATGAATGAGCAAGAGGACAGACGAAGGGAGAGAGGTTGAAATTCATTGTAGAGTGGAAAAATCTGGCAGACTCCACCTTGACCAAGGAATCAAGGTTCACATCGCCTGTAATAAGACAATTCAATATCATGTACCTCCTATGATACACTAAAAAGGGCACAAGATCACTTCTGTGCTATTTGCTATTCCTGTCAAAGTACAAAATCTCAATGCAGTCGCAGGAAACCCAACTGAGGAACATGCCTCAAAACAGCAGACCAGTAGTCTTGAAAAGTATCAAGGCCATGAAAGAAAAGGAAAGACAGAGGGATTGTCACAGACTGGAGAAGACTACTTGGATACAATGTGAGATTATCCTGAAACAGAAAAAGGACATTGGGGAAAACTGGTGAAATTTAAATAAGGTTTGAAGTGTAGTTAAGAGTATTGTATTAATATTAATTTCAATGTTTTGATCAGTGTACTATGACTATGAAAGACAGCAAAATTCAGGAAACCTGGGTAAAGGGTTTATGAGAACTCTGACTCCTTTTTCAATTTTCTGTCTCAAATTATTTCAGTATAAAAAGTTTAAATTTTCATGTGGATGTTTTGTGATTTCTTTAATGTTATCGGTAATTCCAGGGACCTCAATTATCACCTCTGAAGTCTAGCACTGCTGCATCAGACATGTTCCTGCTTCTCTGTCAAGACAAGAATCAGTAACAAAAGAGAAAGGTGATGTTCCCTGTGAAAATTATAACTTTGAACAGGTCATAGAGCTTTAAGTTTATATAATGCTCCCCCACATCTATTGCATCATTCTGCTTCCCAGCCTCTTAGCAAGGGAGGGAGGCAATAACAGGAATGTCCTTTCAGTTCTCACTCCTCTGCCTGCCCGCTCCCCTGTCTGGAAGGCTATTAAGTGTTTGTGTTAATTAAAGCCTTTAGAAGTGTTGAGCATCTATGAGAGAACCACACGTTACAAAGACCATCAACAGAGCTCCTTTCTCAAGTTTAATTTTAATATTTTCTGAAAGCTTACAGAGTTGGCAGCAAATCCAGGTCAGATATTGCTTTAGAAACACGAGGTTTTACAAAGAACCTCGGCTGACACATCTGCTTACACCTGGGATAAAACCCACTCCAGGTAGCCATTCTGAATGGGAGAACCTGCCAATCCAGAGCCAAGGGGAGTTGTGCCGCTACTCTGCTGCCACCCAGTGGCATGTGGGTGAAAAAGCACCTCGCCAGAGAACAGAAAGAACAGTTCTCTGTAAAGGGCATTTTCTCTGGAATCCAAAGTCAGGAGGAGGCAAGGCAGAAGTGCGGTCCCTGCCTGCCACAGCACTATGGGGGCAGGTGTGAGCAGATGAGAAGGGATGTATTAAAATAAATTGTTCAATGAAGTGTTGTGTCCACCACAGATTGAGAACTGCTCCAGGGACAAAGTTGAAGCCAAACGATGTTACAGGCACCCAGGGAACAAATCCCAATGCCAGATTTACCTGCTTTGGGTCGGAGGTAGCAGCGCCAGGAGCTGGAGATTCCAGTTCTATGGTCACAGGCCCATCGTTCTGAATGTGGACTTGCATGTAGGCACCAAACTTGCCATCTGAAAGAGCAATTCAAACAGTTTCAAGAGATGGAGACCCCAGATTACCCATCTATAAAGCACAACTATCTCAGTGTAATCAGAAGCTTGGGGAGCAGGGATGGTCCACCCCACCAGCGGTGAGGTAAATACAAAATAAACAGCAGGGGTACCACCACACACCCTACAGTCTTGGCAAGAATGAAAGGACCTGGTAACATGAAGGGTGGGGGAAATGTGGGTTAAAGGACTGAAAGATGGTAGGAAAGTAAACTGGTACAAGTACTTGGGAGGGCATTTTGGTGCTGTACCAATAAAGTTCAAGGTGATCAAAGCCCTACAACCCTGACTTCTTTGGTGAGACTAC